CGGAAAAACCCTTTGATTAATCACCTCGCTATCGAGATGTATGACTATGAAAAATAAAAAGATTTTAAGTCTCAAAAATAATGTATTTTACAATATATTATCTACACTATCCATTTTCAAGATTTTCATATGTTTATAGATCTACTTGATTTTAACCATTTTTTAAATTTAAAATTTTATAATTAGATATAAAAATAGATTTTGAGATAATCCTAAGTACATTTTGCATCACAATTATATACCATGATAAAATTTGAAGGTGCACCTTACCTCTACACCTACAAATGCATCCGTATGCAAACTGCATCCAAAATTAAAATATCTGTGTATTATTTAAATATATTTCATATAGCATGACCCAAAAAATATTACCAGACCTAGACACATACCTCAATAGTATTCATGTCCAAGATTTGGACCGAGACCCAACCCACCGGGTTTAAAAGGCCCATACTGAGACCTAGATCGAATCTACCACTCGGGTACTGAGTGGGGTCAAAAAGAAGGGAATCCCCTCAATTCCCTCTTGATCACGCTTTCACCACTCTTCACCTACTCTCTCATGGCTATTTATTTATTTGTTATTTTCCTCACCCTTAAAACTAACTAACTACCTACCTCGAGTTTCTTCAATTCACAAGAACCCACTCTTGTTGTGAAACGGCAAGAGAGTTTTGATCTTTTAAACTATGATATATCTATTTCCCCTACAAATAATATAGAAAGGAAAAGGAAAGAGGAAGGAAGGTAAGTTTGTACAGGTTCATGTGGCAGGTATGAGCATTTTTTCCTCTGCCCCGCCTCTGATCACCCAGATTCTAGAGAGAGAAACTGCACTCTGAAACCCCCTCTGATCACCCAGATTCCCTCCACCATAATTCTTATTACTAACCACAATTTCATTTTTGAGAGAGAAACTGCATTTTTAGCTGCTCCTTTGCACGTTTAATTCTTCAATCTGCAATTTTGTTTTCATGAAGAGTTTGAGAGGTGGAAAAAGATGAACAGTGGGTACTTCCAAGAGCGTTTGAGAACCCTTTTAGCTACTAAGCGCTGGAACTACTGTGTGTATTGGAAACCCAGCAACGACCAGAGGTGAGCTCTTGCCATTGTTGCTTCTAAGAGAGAGAGGTTCTTCTCTGTTTTTGTTGTAATTGGGGAAAACTTATTTTTTACAAATAAACTAAGATTGATCTGAAAATTTATGTTTAGGAATATTGAATGGGTGGGGTGTTGCTGCGGGGGAGCTACTGAAAATGGAGATAGTGAGAATGGTTTGGTGGGGTCTTTTGCATCTAAATTTTATTGCAGGGATACAGTTTTACCCCACCCACCCACCCAGTCCTGCCACCTTCTCTTGGCGTCGCCTACCTCCATCCCTTTGGACTCTGCTGCTGCTGGGTAACCTAACCAACCAATGTCATTGATCGATTGATTCGGGTTTTTTAAGTTTCCGGCCACCTTAATTCTTATTCTGTCAAAAAAAATCAGGGTTTATGCACAGGTGCTTTTGTCCGGGCAGGCCAGATGGATTAATACTAATACGCAACCCACCCACCTAACGGATTGCAGTGTACTGATACAACTCTTCTTCATTCTTTCTTAGTTTTTGGAAGAGATGGCATTCAGTTTCTTTGTTTGTTTAGGATTGCAGTGTACTAATAATACTCTTATTCATTCTTTCTTAGTTTTTGGAAGAGATGGCATTCAGTTTCTTTGTTTGTTTAATCGTGCAGGAAGTGGGGGCTAATACAAATAATAATAATACAAGGGCATTCATTCCGGTTCCTGGAGGAGGCCTTGTGGAGCTGTTTGCTTTTGATAATGTGAAGCACCTGCTCTTTCTCTGTCTTACTCTTTGTTTTGTACTCCATCTAAATGGAATTCAGAAGGCGACGCCCTCTCCATTTCATCCTTGTTTATTTTATTAGGTTTTTGAAAATGCATGAAATAATTATATTATATTATATAAAACAGATATTCTGACAAGTTTAAGCAATTAGGGAAAAGAAAAAGACATTGAAAAAGGAGTTCTCAAAAGTGTTTGATTTGATAATATGATAACAACAGGTATCAGAGGATCGTGAGGTGATTGAGTTTGTTATGGAGGAGCAGTGGCCTGCAAATTGCCCCCCTGAACACCCTCTCCATCAGGAATCTTGGCAGCAGCAGAGGCAGGAAGCGATGATGATATCTTCTTCTTCATCTTCCGCCATAAAGGAAATACCTTTCCATTTCTCATCGGAAAACTTAGTCGGAAACTACCAAAGTTTCGAGCCCCAATCCCCCACAGACCTACAGGAAGATTACGAAAGAAGATACTACTACCACCACCACCAAATGCTCGACAACAGGCAAAAGGACTTCCATCACCACCCCCCATGGACTGGTGTCCCTTCTCCTTCGGATTGGGGGTCGTATGGCCAACAGCAGCTGAGGAACAACAACGTTCTCTTTGATGGCTCTGCCGACTCCTTGCTCTCAGATGACATGATGAAGCCTCCAATCTCCTTCCCCAATCTTAAATCGACATCATCCTCATCACAGGTGAAGCAGGAGGGTGAGCAGGAGGGTGAGCAGAGGGGTGACTCCATCTCTGACTGCAGCGAGGATGACGACGAACAAAAGGCAAGGTCTGGAAGGAAACATCAGTCTAAGAACCTGGTGGCTGAGAGGAAGAGAAGGAAGAAGCTCAGTGAAAGGCTCTATGCCCTCCGCTCCCTCGTGCCCAAGATCACCAAGGCAGGCCAACATGACAACCCAACCCCTTCTCTCGTTTTTTTTTTTTTCAAACTGTAAACTCTCATTTTTATAATCTGTTTCAGTCTTTTTTCCATCTTCCTTTATTCATTTTTCAACTATG